TCCTCACGATGTCACAGCCAATGCCTTTAGAGTCAGATCGGTTTGGCGTTTTGTTGTTGCCACATCTTAAATTAAGACAACCGGCGGATGCAATAAAGGCGCTCGAATGCGTCTCCCGTGGGGATTTGAATCTTTCGACTAAAATCTTCCTGACTTAAAGCTTTCGTGACTGCAGGATTCTTATTATTTGGGTCTTTCGGTAAAGTCACGTTTCGATCGCAACACAAGCGGCTCTGCGAACGAAACGTCGTCGCTTTTTTTGTTATTTTCTTTGAACCTATCTACGTGACTTTACCGAAAGACCCAATAATTGTATTTTTTGAATGTTCAGTCGATACCGGCCACCATCGGCACCGCTCATCGTGACGATTGTCCATCGACTACGAAGCTCTCGCCGTGCCATCATCATCATCATCATCGTTGTTGTTGTCGATTAACGCCTCCCCATGCCATCACCATCATTATCATCATCATACGTATCATCACGAGTAACACTCCCCATGCCATCACCATCATTATCACCATGAGTATCATCATCATCATCATCATTCATTTTCGACGAAGACCTCCTCATACCATCAACATCATAGCCATCATCAGCAGCAGCTTTACCCACTGCTGTATTAAAGCCTTTCATCGCCATCATCAACATCATGATTATGATGATCACTGTCACACGTGGTCTGTTGAATGCTGGATGAAGGCTTCAGCATCATCATCATTATCAGTCTTAGTCTATCCACTGCTGGACGACGGCGTCCCTAAGCCATCATCATCATCATCATCCTCAAACCACAATCATGAAGTCATGAATTCACATCCTGGTCAGAGGTCAATTCAGCTCATCATCCATTCAGGATTCTTTAAATATGGAATCTTTGTGGATAAAACTGGGCCCCTCCATAGGAATGTGGAATTTCCTCCACGAGTTCTGGAACATAACAGCACATCCTATTCTTATTTTAGCAGTGAGGCTTTCTGCACTTTTTTCCAAATTTATTTCACATTGAGTCCACCCAGGTCTTTGGTCTCTATTATGTACAGCAAGTCTATGCGTCTGTATATAAGTCTGTGAGCCTGTAGAATTATATGGATCTCTATGTAAGTATGTGGGTCTCAATTTAAATCTATGCTGTTTAAATCTACTTATTTAAAACCAGGTCTCCCTTGCAGAAGTAACTTCCCTCTCGATTGGGGCCATCGCTTGGTGATAACAATCTGGATGTACGTAACCTGGTGGAGCAGTGAGTGGCACTATGGCTAGCACACCGGCTAATGAATCCGGCGACCTGAGTTCGATTCCCAGTCGTGGCTAACAACAGTGGCGAGTGATATCTGAACTGGTTCTGGGTGCCCCCTTCAGTCAACTACCATTGACCTGGGTGGTGAAGCATGGTCAAACAACTCCCATGACCCACGCGGCGTGGGGAAAAGGCACGTGGAAGACGTGCACGTGTGTACGGTGCACCTTGACGCAACAGCAATATCAGCACTGGGGAGACAAAGGCGGCCGGGCGTGGTGTTTGGCCAGAACACAACACTTCGAGTGCAATGCCCGGCCTTAATGTGTGCTCGCTCACAGCACTTGCCCCCGAACCAGTTTGCAAGGCAAACACGCGGAATCTTTTTATCTTTATATGACGAGAGCGCATCTCCATTGGCCAGCAGCAGCCGTCACCCGCTTTCTATTGGCTTCAGCGTCACAGTCCGCTGTGGTGGCGGGGGTGGGTGGGGGGCAATTAATTTGTTCACTGATGGGGAGAGCATAGTCGTTGGTGTCTAGCAAGAGATGCGATTACAATAAAATAAACTTTAGACTGACCCAGCCTAGAGCGTTGTGATTATAATTCCGCTGCTGCTGCTGCTGATGATGATGGTGGTTATTCTGTCGCTGCTAATTGATGACAATGATGGCAATTCCAATCTTTGCGAGCGCGCGCGCATACACACTCAGCAATCCATCAAGAGTCATTTAATTAACCGTGGAAGTCTCGATGAGTCTCAGGGCCTATTTGGCAGCAGGGTCCTGGCACTGCGAGTGACGGAAACACAACTCACGTGGGATAGAAAACATTTTTTACCGTCATAAATTCGTACGGATAGGGTTATCCTCCTGACAAATGTCGCGGCTCCTCCATTTCTGGTCTCTTCGTGATCCACAAACTCCCCCCTCCCACCCCTCATCTATTACACTTCTTCTCAAGCAGCTCTGATCTTGTAGCTCCACACCTCGGCTGTGTGTCCCGGGTTGACCCACACGGTTAATGAGTTTCATGAGTTAATGATCGAAGAGGATCTTCATTTCGTAAGGCCTATGAAGAGCAACCAAGAGAGATTCTGTTGCCAGCAGTGGATCCGTTCAGCGACTCTCTCTGAGAGTCGGTCAATTACAGGTGCGCCCACAACCGGCGCATTTGTATTGAGGTGGGGGGCAGGGTAACGTTGGATGAGCCGTGGTTTGGAGTTCGTAGCCGCAGGAGCAACAGGGCACACGAGACTTTGTTACGCGACGAGGTGGACCTCTGCCTTAATAGGAACGCCCTGTAGAAAGCGCAGGGCGTTTCGCTGAACGGGAGTTGGAGCTGCTTGGCTGCTTTAGTGGGTGGCCGAACGGAGTGACTTGCTTAGCTGGCTGGATTGCTGGTTAGGGGGCTGGTTGGGTGACTGAATGAGTGGCTAACCAACTTGTTATCTGGCTGGATCGATGAGTGGGTGATTGAGTGTCTGACTGGCTGAATGAATTTCGATTTAAAGCTTTCGTGACTGCAGGGATTCATCTTCTTGGTTCTTTCGGTAAAGTCTACGTGGCTTTACCGAAAGAACCAAGAAGATGGCTGGATGAATTTTGAGCTGGCTAAGTGACTGGCTGAGTGGGTAATTCATTATTGCTGGCTGAGTGGCTGAGCGTCTGCTTGGCTGATTGACCGATGGAGTGACTGGACTGGGTGGTTAGCTGACTCGTTAACTAGCTCGCTAGTTGAATGAGTAAGTGGCTGGCTGAGTGGCAGTTGACTAGTTGACTGGCTGACTCACAGTGGTTCGTGACTTAACTCGGCTGCCTGACTGCTGATGAAACTCGGCTGCATGTCTGATTCTCCAGTCGCACGCGTGCAACATTTTGCACACATTCTCACCAGAATACCACTCACTCCGCACCGGGCGTGCATTTCTTACCATCGCTCATGAACCAGAAATCCCCAAAAACCCTGAGCGCACAAAAAAAAAAACATCGACGAAAGAATTCAAAATATAGAAAAAACGTAAAGTGGGGTTTGGGCAAGACGCGTTCGCTCGAAGAAATGACGATGTTCCGTGACGAACGGACGTGGTGGCAACCCAAAGCAAGAGATTGCGTGATAGGAGCGAGCGAGCGAGTGCGTGCGTGCGTGTGTGCGTGCGTGTGTGCGTGTGTGCGTGCGTGTGTGCGTGTGTGCGTGCGTGTGTGCGTGCATGTGTGCGTGTGTGCGTGCGTGTGTGCGTGCGTGCGTGTGTGCGTGTGTGCGTGCATGTGTGCGTGCGTGTGTGCGTGTGTGCGTGTGTGCGTGCGTGTGTGCGTGCATGTGTGCGTGTGTGCGTGCATGTGTGCGTGCGTGCGTGTGTGCGCGTGGGGAGCGGTGGGGTAGTAGCGGTTAGCGCGCCACGCTGCGAAACTGGCCACCCGAGTTCGATTCCTGCTCACGGCCAACACCCGGTGGCGATTATCTGAAGGTGGTCCAGGGCCTCCCCACCTAGGTAGACTCGGCCTCAAATGAGTAACCCGGTGCCGTGTGTAAACAAAGGCGGCCGGGCGTGGTGCTGGCCACCCACCCCCTCGTGTGCTGTGCCGGCCTTCATAGGTGCTCGCTAACAGCTCTTGCCCCCAACAGCCTGTTAAGGCTACACGGGGAGGGGTCGTTGTCTTTGTTTTTGTGTGAAAACGGGCGCAACACAGAGAGACAGATAAAGAGGGGGGGGCAGAAGGAACGATGAGAACAGCTCGTGCGCAGGTGCTCGATGGAATGTCCGCATCACGCCGCGTGTGTGCGGAACAGCGGGGGGGGGGGGGGGCTACCCGGGGGGGGGGGGGCTACCCGGAGGGGGGCTACCCGGGAGGGGGGCTACCTGGGGAGGCGCACTCCGCGCGGAGAAACCTCGACGCGTTCGTCAAGAGGAGCGCGGCAGAACAAGTGCACAAGAGGCGACGTTTCGGCTACGGGTGCCTTTCCTCTACGGCACGTAAATGAATAAATAACGCTAACGTGTGCGCGTGTGTGTGCGCGCTCATCGCCGCATTATCGACCGATCGTACAATGCCGCGCGTTATCGCGACAAATCAAAACGCGGCGTTGAAGTCGAGCGGCACGATTCGCGATCAAAGCTCTCGACGCATTCCCCGCGGTGACTGCTGCACGCGCCTTGGTGGTAGCGGTGGTGTGGGGGGGTGTTCATCCAGCAGTGGATAGATCATATCTGACGGCGATGATGACGACAACGGCGAATTCACAAACGCACGAGACCAACGCAGCACAGCACATCACGCGGCAGTTGATATATGATCGATAGGTCGTATCTGACGATGACATTGAATTAAAAAACACGCAACATCGACAACGCAAAATCGTGGTTGAGTCATATCTGACCTCAACGACTGCCGACGACGATGATGACGACGATGACGATTAATTCACAAATGCAAGCTCACAACAAGACCATTACACAACACACGGCAGTGGCTCTGTCACGTGCGACTTGATACAGGATGCCGTGTAAGACGCGCACATGCGCGCACACACACGCGCACACAGGCACCCAACACAAGACCGGCGCATCACAACACCAAGACGCAAGTCAGCGGGGGTAATCCTCCTGGAATCATCGCTTGAGACGGAGCGTTTCGTTCTGCAGGCTCGCCCCGACGTGAATAATTCACGACTATCGCGACTCCTTAACAGACAACGAGCGCAACCACCGACAGACAGGCCGCTCCGTCCCATCGCCACCGCGTGTGCCGGCGACCTTACTGTATTGATTCTCGCCGTGCTCGCCCGTCACTCTCCCGTCCGACTGAATCTGCAGATGGAATCCGATGCCGATGTTGCAGTAGAGGCGACGCAGCCTGCGGATGCCGATCAGGTAGTCGCTGTCCTGGGTTCGAGCTAGGGAGTCCGTGCTCGGCGGTCGGCCTTGGCGGGACCTCGACAGCAGCGTATCCCAGGACCTGCGGTCCGCGTGCTGCTGCTGCTGATGATGATGGTGGTGGTGGTGATGATGGTCGTGCGTCGAGAAGGCCGTGTCCGACTGTGAGATGTCCGACGCCGCGTGTCCTCCGGCCACCGCGGCCGCTGCTGCCACCGCTGCAGCCAATTGTCCCGCGGCTGCGACCGCCGCCGCTGAGGATGATGATGACGAGGAGGATGATGATGATGAGGATGATGATGACGAGGAGGATGATGATGAGGACGAGGCGAGCGCTGCCGGTGCCGCAGAAGGGGTTGAGGCGAGCAGGCTAAGGAGCAGCGCCAGCGGCAGCAGCAGCGGAAGGGAAGGTACCTGCCGCAGTAACGGCAGATCGCTCGCTACGAGCGCCCGCATAACTTTTGTGCAAGCGAAAGCGGCTTTGCACGTGGCCTCTCTCCGCCCTACCCCCCCAGCTCCCCGCGACCCGACCCCCCACGAGCAACACGCCCCCACCCCTCCCCCACCCACCCACCCACCTATCATCCCCCACTCCTCCCTTACCAGGCCAGCCACCACGACTTACTCGATCCAACCCGATGCCACAAGCACGAGGCCCCCCTCCCTGCCGCCTGACGCATCACCGTGACCCGCCCACCTGACTCACTCAGCCGGGTGCTCGTCCTGAATCATTACTCCCCTGCGCACCAACACTCCCTCCTCCTGCTCCTCCTCCTACTCCTCCTCCTACTCCTCCTCCTCCCTCTCTACTGCTCCATCCCACCTCCTACTCCTCCTCCCTCTCCACTGCTCCATCCCTCCTCCTCCCCCTCCACTTCTCTATCCATCCTCCTCCACTTATCCATCCCTCCTCCTCCCTCTCCACTCCTCTAAGCCTCGTCACCACCCACATCCAATATCACCGCCGCCCTGTGAACCCCACCTTCTTGTCTGCGCCATTCCCAGCAGAGACAGAGACACCCAGCAGAGACACCCAGCAGAGACAGAGACACCCAGCAGAGACACCCAGCAGAGACAGAGACACCCAGCAGAGACACCCAGCAGAGACAGAGACACCCAGCAGAGACACCCAGCAGAGACACCCAGCAGAGACATCCAGCAGAGACAGAGACACCCAGCAGAGACACCCAGCAGAGACAGAGACACCCAGCAGAGACACCCAGCAGAGACAGAGACACCCAGCAGAGACACCCAGCAGAGACACCCAGCAGAGACAGAGACACCCAGCAGAGACACCCAGCAGAGACAGAGACACCCAGCAGAGACACCCAGCAGAGACACCCAGCAGAGACACCCAGCAGAGACAGAGACACCCAGCAGAGACACCCAGCAGAGACAGAGACACCCAGCAGAGACACCCAGCAGAGACAGACACCCAGCAGAGACACCCAGCAGAGACACCCAGCAGAGACTGAGACACGCAGCAGAGACACCCAGCAGAGACAGAGACACCCAGCAGAGACACCCAGCAGAGACAGAGACACCCAGCAGAGACACCCAGCAGAGACAGACACCCAGCAGAGACACCCAGCAGAGACACCCAGCAGAGACTGAGACACGCAGCAGAGACACCCAGCAGAGACAGAGACACGCAGCAGAGACACCCAGCAGAGACAGAGACACCCAGCAGAGACACCCAGCAGAGACTGAGACACGCAGCAGAGACAGAGACACCCAGCAGAGACAGAGACACCCAGCAAAGACACCCAGCAGAGACTGAGACACGCAGCAGAGACAGAGACACTCAGCAGGGACTGAGACACGCAGCAGCGAATGCTACAGCCACCTGCCCATTCGCGAAAGCCGCGACAGACACGCAGCCACTCATCTCACACCTCCCTACAGACGTAGGCACATATATGCACAGATACCCTTATGGGCTTTATAGGAGTGTTGGGGCAAGTGCTGTTAGCGAGCCCCTATTAAGGCTGGCACGGCGCACGACTGGGTTGGTGGGACCGGCACCGCATCCCAGCAACAATTACACGATTGGCAAAGATCCCCCCCCCCCCCCATACAGCCTGGACAGACGTTTTGGGACAAGCGCTGTTGGCGAGCAGCTATGATGGCCCACACGGCACGAGGTGGAGGGGGGGGAGGGTAAACACCACGCTCGGCCACCTTTGTCTTCCCACATGCGGATTATTTTACACACCGCATCAGCTACAGCTCTTTTAAGGCGAAGTCGGCATAGGGGGGGTGGCGGAGGGGGTGGCTCAGGACCGCTTCAGATATTTGTCACCGACGTCAGAATGAGACTATTTATTTATCCTGGAGGAATCCGGTGAGCTGCAAAGCTCTTCGTCCAAACGTTAGCTGTGAGTGGGAATCGAACTCGGTTTTCGTAGGCCGTCGGGTTAAGTGAGCGCAGAGCGCTAACTCCCACTACAATACCGCTCCCCACAATGCAAGACAAAGACAAAGACACAGATCCCTCCCCTCTCCGTATAACCTTAACAGACTGTTGGGGCAAGTGCTGTTAGCGAGCACCTATGAAGGCCGGAACTGCACACGAGGGGGTGGGTGGCCAGCACCACGCCCGACCGCCTTTGTCTTTTTTACACATCGCACCAGCAACTAATTTGAGGCTGCGTCGACCTAGGGGAGGCCCAGGACCGGTTCAGACACTCGTCACCGATGTTGTCCCGCGAGCGGGAATCGAACTCGAGTAGGCGGGTTCGTAGCGCAGCGCTAACCGCTGCGCCACCGCTCCCCACACACGGCAAGACAACCACGGGCACGCGTCACGAGGGCGCGCCTCCTCATCTGTTCCATCTGGTGTGGGAAAGACTTGTCGCCTCTCTTTCCGAGGGCGTGTGTCAGTCAGCAGCAGGAAGTTAGTGAAGGGAAGAAGATTCCTATATATATTTTAAAAAAACAATTTGACTAAAAATAATAATGAAGCCTACACCAACCCCAAGGGAGCGGCACGTGGGTACAGAAAGACGTGGGCCACAGACTTTTTGACTTTTAAACAACTTTTATTGCCGCCAGCAGCAACAGCACTGGAGGCGATTCCGATATGAAATACACAAAGTCACCAGCAAACAAATAAACGATATAAATCAACGCGCTGTGGCGCTAAATGCAGCGCGCACAACACGAAATAAAAGCCACGTGGTGGTGGAGCTGTTCATCGCGCACGCCACGGTGACGAGCGAGCGATTTAGAAGGTGAACACGAGGGTGCCGTCCACGCTGGTACAGAGAGGGGCTTTTCCGGCTCCACACGGAGGGTACAGAGAGAGAGAGAGACGTGGGCTACAGCGAGAGACGTGCTCTACACAGAGAGACGTTGGCTACAGCGAGAGACATGGGCTACAGCGAAAGACGTGGGCTACACAGAGAGACGTGGGCTACAGCGAGAGACATGGGCTACAGCGAGAGACGTGCTCTACACAGAAAGACGTAGGCTACACAGAGAGACGTGGGCTACAGCGAGATACGTGCTCTACACAGAGAGACGTTGGCTACAGCGAGAGACATGGGCTACAGCGAAAGACGTGGGCTACACAGAGAGACGTGGGCTACAGCGAGAGACGTGCTCTACACAGAAAGACGTAGGCTACACAGAGAGACGTGGGCTACAGCGAGAGACGTGCTCTACACAGAGAGACGTTGGCTACAGCGAGAGACATGGGCTACAGCGAAAGACGTGGGCTACACAGAGAGACGTGGGCTACAGCGAGAGACGTGCTCTACACAGAGAGACGTAGGCTACACAGAGAGACGTGGGCTACAGCGAGAGACGTGGGCTACAGCGACAGACGTGGGCTACAGCGAGAGACGTGGGCTGTTACGAGGGCGAGGAGCCTTAGGAAACGGGGGTCTACCAGGAAGCTGGGTGTAAGCGTGCGGCAAACGGGGGGAGGGCGCCTGGGAATTTTAAACTGGGGTTTCCACTTTCTCGAGGGGTTACCGCTGTCCCTGTGGAAACAACAACAACAAGTCGTTCGCTTTGCCGCTCGTTCGGCGGTTGGCCCCTATCCTCCCTGCACAGTGGGTGAGGGGCCGGGCCCCGGCCATACGAATGTGGAAATTGTCGCCTCTGGCTCAGGGGCAGCGAAGGGATAGGATCATGGCTCTACGCAAACGCGCAATGAGCGCGTGTATGTGTGTGCAGGTGTGTGTGTTAGCGTGTGTATGTGTGTGCCGGTGTGCAGATGTGTGTGTGTGTGTTAGCGTGTGCATTTGTGTACTGGTGTGCAGGTGTGTGTATGTGCGTGTCAGCGTGTGTATGTGTGTGCAGGTGTGTGTGTGTAGGTGTGTGTGTGTGTGTGTACTGATGTGCAGGTGTGTGTTAGCGTGTGCATGTGTGTACCGGTGTGCAGGTGTATTTGTGTGTTAGCGCGTGTATGTGTGTGCAGGTGTGTAGGTGTGTGTGTGTGTTAGCGTGTGTATGTGTGTGCAGGTGTGTAGGTGTGTGTGTGTGTACTGGTACGTGTGTGTGTTAGCGCGTGTATGTGTGTACCGGTGTGCATGTGTGTGTGTGTGTTAGCGCGTGTATGTGTGTGCAGGTGTGCAGGTGTGTGTGTGTGTGTTAGCACGTGTACCTAGTGCGTTGTGTAGTAAACATCGCCACTAGGGGGACAAAGGCGGTCGGGCGTGGTGCTGGTCACCCACCCGCTCGTGTACCGTTCCTGCCTTCATAGGTGCTCGCTAACAGCACTTGCCCCAACAGTCTGTTAAGGCTATACGGGGGATCTTTGTTAGCGTGCTGCGCTACGAATCCGGCGAACCGAGTTCGATTCGAGCTCACGGCCAACATCAGCAACGATTATCTGAACCGGTCCTGGTCGCCGACTCAGCCTCAAATGAGTACCTCGTGCGGTGTGTAAATATCGCCACTAGGGAAACAAAGACGACCGGGTGTTATGGGTCTGGCCCCACCACCCTTTTGTGCGCCGTTTCCGGCCTCAATTTGGCGCTCGCGAAAAGCACTTGGCCCAACAGTCTGTCAAAGGCTATACGGATGATCTTTGTCTCTAGATCAGACGTGGGTTGCCACCTGTCCTGGTTTTCTCAGGATCGCCCTCTAAATTAAGTTTGGCAGCAGCTGTCCTGGGCGATCTGTCAGTCTTCCCCGGGGCGACACAAACCCTCCGGGTCGATGTCGGTCGCGTAACAATAACAATGGTGGTGACGACGCTGCTGCTGCTGCTGCTGACGATAATGAGACACCAGACGAGACAATGTGCCTTCGCCAGTCCTGTCTGGATGATGGGAAGCTCCGGGAAGTCAAGTACGCATCCCTGTAATCATCATCATCATCATCAACGTCGTCGTCGTCGTCCTCTTCAGCCACGTTCGAGCCACTGACATTTCTCAAAGACTCGCGATGTCACAATCCTATCCGCACAGAGCTGATTCCGTCGCTCCGTCTCCCTTCTCGGGCGT